GATCTTATTGTTTCATATAAATCTGTGGAATTGTTCGATCTTAGATTGAAAAATCGAAACTCTACGTTATATGTTTGTGGTCTTTTCCCTTTGAATTGCACCTTTATTTATACAGTAMGTTCAAATATTTTCATGCTTACATTTGGTAAAAGTTGTTTTAGATGGTAGCTGGAATGGCATCTTATATGATATACTTGGTACAATTYACACAGGTGCAACAAAAAAACTCGAACTCCACTGTTTTGAACACTTAATTTAATCTTAAATTTACAAATGTTATGATTGCGTAGGGGTATTTTTTTGTAGAACTAATGATTGGATTGTAGGTTGTTCAATTTTTGTGAGATACTTTTATAATGCATGATTGTAAGAATAAAACAAGTGTTTAATTTATTCTTTATTTTTATGATTTACAAGTTACACAATGACTTACTTGACTAAACTGTAYCAAATAAATGACATATGAGACTATTCCTGCAGTCATCTGAAATAGAATAAGCTTGGAATAGTTTTTAAAAACTTCTGTTACTTACAGTGTACGCAAGACAATAATCTAAAGGTAGAAATCCACAAATGGTAAATTTTAAAGGATACACTTTATTCTTTAAAAAAAGCATTCTTTCCTAAARYGKCATRTACTTCTTGTAGWACGTATTTTGCTAAATCATACTTACMAGTGYATGAGATTTTGTTRATGATAAATTAATTGTGCCYYTTTTAAGTGTGTCACAGATTACTTCGCTTACTATATGATGCTGCAAAATTTCATGACATAATTTATGAATATAAAATATAAGTATCTCACTTGTTCTTTAATTCTTCCAAAAACAAAACTTATTCTTATAATTGAATGAACAACAAATAACAGCCATGATACAACGATAATTGCGTTTAAAATAGTAGAGTAGAGTGAATTGCTTACTTCCAAAGTCGTAGCTGTACCATAAAATAAATCAGTAGCGGCATAAAAGAAGTCAGTTATAATTTTTGCCAACATAAATTCTTGGATAATGTTAAAGGTATCTTGTGCTAAATCTTGTAAYATGGATAATACTTTWATACTTTCTTCAATATTGAKTTTTGTATGGGTTTGACACTGAAGTATATTTAAAAAAWTTCCATAGAGKTTTTCTATTGGTGTAATGAGTAGGAAAATTGTAAAATCTGATACAGCATAATATACAARTCCARTGTAAAAACAGTAATGAAAAACAAAATCTTTRAAATCSTGTGTCATGTACATAAAGTCCATTATAAAAGTGAAAATTGCAAACAACAATTTTATAGTTAAGACTAATACAAAACATCTTCCTGTTTCAATATAATCAAATTTT